TTTTCAGGTTTAGTTGTATTTGCTGTATTTTCTTCTTTTACGTGTTTTTGGGAGGAGGTTTCCACCTTGTCTTCCTACTCTGCCATCTTTTTCTCCACCCCTGCTTGAATGTTTTTTTTTTAATGGTTTTTCTGCTTGGTGGGCATTGGGCTTCTTAGATCTAGGGAGTTTATAGTTTTCATCACATTTGGAAATATTTTAGCTCTTATTCAATATTTTTGGTCTTTCCTCAGTTCCCTCCTTTTTCTGAGACTACACTGTTTTCCTTTCTTCATTTCTCTTTCCAGCATTTTCAGGTTTACTTCTTCCTTCTTGAACATATGGAGCTTAGTTATAACAGCTTTTTTAATATCATTCATTATCTGCTACTTCAGTCCATCATCTGTGTGTTTTCTGGATCTGTTTATGTTGGTTGATTTTTCACCTGATAATTGTGATTAGTTGTGTGACTGCAGATTTTTGTTGCTAGGTTTTGTTATTTCAAATATTTTAGATTTTATTGTAGGATACAGTTTAGTGACTTCTTGGATTCCAGTTGATCATTAAGACTTGTTTCCAAATATTTTTACTGCTGATTCAGAATACCCTTTAGTCTAGGGCTAATTGGCCGCACTGCTGAAGCAATGCTTTTCTGAGGACCCTGTCTGATTCCCTGTGAGTTATGAGTTCTTCCTCCAAAGCTGGTAGGAACAGGAATTATTTCAGTTCTGTGTGAGATCTGGGAATGACTGGCCTACTGCTTTCTAGTCTTTTTTTTGCCCAGCTCTAGTCTCCTTCCACACGTGTACAGATCAGTCTTAAGCCAAAAATTTGAGGAGCTCTCTCTGCCCTTCTCCAGAGCTTTCTGTCATTCTCCTCTAGTACGCCTCACAAATCTGAGATCATCTCTCACTCCCAACTCCAAGGGACTACCAGTTTCTAGTTGGATTCTCCCTCCCTGCAGAGCTACCTGGGACCTGCCTCCAGGCAGAAAACTGAGTCAGTCATAAAACAAAACCTTGTTTCCTTCTTTTAGGGGTTATAGTCCTGTGCTGCTCTTCTTTGAGTGTTTTCAAACTTTTGTTTCATATTTTATTTGGTTTTCTAGTTGTTAAAGGTGGAAAAGTAAACCTAGTCCTTGTTAATCCATCATAGCTAGAAGCAGAAGTTTCAGTGAACATGACAGAAGCTACAATGGCTGTAGGCCAGTCATTTTCAGACAGGTTTTATGCTGAAGTTTCTTGTTGGATCCTTTCAATTGTCATTTCCTTGGTTTTCTTTTCTCTTTTTCCCCACACCCTCTAGTTGATTCATCTGTCTTCAGCAGAAGTGGATAAAAAGGTCACTTGAGCATCTTCTAAATATAGGGCACTTTACATACTAAAAAAAAAAATCATCCCTAACTTCAAATAGACCTTGCATCAGATAAACAAAAGTAGGACTCACAGATGTGACGATGAGTTGAGTTCAGAGTAGCTGCAAATAGGAGTGGAGCCAGAGAGGGGAAAGTATGGGTGAGTAGGAGAAAAGGCTAAAGGAGGAACAGGGAAATTGGTGTTTAAGGAACAAAATGGGAAAGAGAGAGAGGATGAGTTCACATTTAACTCAGTTGAGGGACAGAGCTCACTTCAGTTGGAATGCTCCTGGGCTGTGAGGGCTAGTGCCCTAGGAGTCCAGATAGCAGTCATTTGATTATGTTTTGGTGGCATAGTGCAAAGAAGAAAAGGTTTTCTCTTCAGAGATGCTAATGACCAAGATGATTCAGGACATTCTCAGATAATACATTGGATTGACTTTGACTATGTAATATCATTTCCCTCAGTTCCTGTGACCTAAAGTACACAGAAGGAGTACAGTCTCTCAACTGGACTAAAATCATGAAGACCATTGTCGATGACCCTGAAGGCTTCTTTGAACAAGGTGGCTGGTCTTTCCTGGAGCCTGAGGGTGAGGTGCGTGAGTGTGGGGTTTCTTTTCTGGTATGTGCTGTTGCCCAATATCATCTGGGAGATTAGGAGAATGCCATCCAAGTATAAGGGACCAGACCAACTGGGAGAAGCTTTGAACACAACCTGGTGTCACTGTACTGTCTCTCCAAGTTAGCTTTATAGGGAATGATAAATTCATTGGGCACTGGTAGCCACTGATAAGATTTCTTTGAAATTACAAAAACTATCCTTTCAATAAATTTCTTAGTATTGGGGAAAAATTCTTCAGGGCATGTTGCAAAAATTATTTCTTAAAAAGTGGCCCTCCCACCTCTGTACAGTGCACTATTAACCAAGAGTGTTTGTATGTTTTGTTTTCCTGGGTAAGGAAGGAAGAAGTAAACCTTTAAGAAATAAGAATTTGATATTTAGGGTGTCTAATAATTATACCTTACTAGTAATTTTAAAAAGTCCTTTTATCTCTTGGCCACTCGACTGCTTTACTTTTTCGTGTAAAGTAGAAATAAATAGAATCTGGAATGAAGTAGCACTTGTTCCATACTCTCCCAAGTGGCTTGTGCTTACTGGGCTGAATTAATTAATTAAATTAATGACATGGATGTCCAAAAAACCCAGTAAATAGTATTATGCTCTCTCTAACTCTCCAGGGGAGTGATGCCGAGGAAGGGGACTCAGAGTCTGAAATTGAAGATGAGACTTTTAATCCTTCAGAGGATGACTATGAAGAGGAGGAAGAAGACAGTGATGAAGATTACTCATCAGAAGCTGAAGAATCAGGTTAGTCTTCATAGGAAAAGTTTTCATGGCTTCCTAATGTCATTTATGGAATGGAAGAACTCTCATTTCATTCCTGTCTAATGATTAATGCTTAGCCAATTTTATTCCAGACTATTCCAAGGAGTCATTGGGTAGTGAAGAAGAGAGTGGAAAGGATTGGGATGAATTAGAGGAGGAAGCCCGAAAAGGTAAATTTTGTTGGTTTTTTGTTTTATTTTTTAAGGCACAAGTATCTAACAGATTGTGGTATTTTGACACACTGTTTCCATAATAAGAGTAACAGAAAATCTATTAAAAAAAACTGATGTGGAGCCACAGTTAGTTTCATTGGCCAGAAGAGAAAATGAGTCTAGTATGTGTCCATACTCTCCCAGGTCTTGTAAGGCTCCAGAATTAGGCTATTCAGTTTCCAGGTTTAGGTCTTAACAATAATAGTTTGACTTTCTGGACCTCTTCTGGGTTAGGAATGTTATTATAGTGCTAGTTTGGGTACTCTGAAACTAAACACCAAATACAAGTTAAAGATGAAATATTATCTCCTGTATCCCAAGCATTGTGATAGGTACTTTGCATAGATTACCTTATTTAATTCTAAAACAATTTTCCATTTTACAAATGAATAAACCAATGCTCAGAAAGGTTAAGTACTTGCTCAAGATCACACAACTGAAGTGACTGAGGAAAGATTAAAACTTAGGTCTAATTGAAAAGTACAGTCTTTGCACTATGTCACCCTGTCCGGTAGATTAGGTACGCAAAGCTACTCTATAGCTAACAGTGATGCCTCTTCTCTCTGCTTAGCGGACCGTGAAAGTCGTTATGAGGAAGAAGAAGAACAGAGTCGAAGTATGAGCCGGAAGAGGAAGGCATCTGTGCACAGTTCAGGCCGCGGCTCTAACCGCGGTTCCAGACACAGCTCTGCACCCCCCAAGAAAAAGAGGAAGTAACATCTGAACTTTGGTCTTGAGCTCCATCCTTCCTCAGCCAAGCCCTGAAAATTTTACACGACATAAAAACTGTATTTCTCCTTTTTTTTTCTTTTGAAGTTTTGCCATTTGTGTTTATGTGTTTAGGGGGCCATTTATGTGGACCAATCTACTTGGGGAATTCCAGGCCCACCAGGACACATGCCAATGGCCCCATCCACATGGCAAGGGAGAAGGTGTTCTTGAAGGGCCGAGGCTTCCACTGTTGTTAAGTACTGTTTCATTCCTCTCTCTCCCTGTCACCTGCCAGGACATCAATGGCTTCTGACATCCTACCCTTTGATGTCTCAAAGCTGTATTTCCAAGACATTGGTACCAGATCACCCTTTAACTCCCTGTACCATGGTTCTTGACGAGCAGATTCAATCCTCCATCCTACCCTTCTGCCGTGACCTTCCTCACATCTCTGAGTTCCATCTCTGTAGTACGCAAGAGAATGTTCTTGGAATTTGCTAATGGTTGTGATAAACCATACAACTTGAGCTACTGAGGCAGATTGGGCCAGTACCATTGTCTGAGTTTTCCTGCTTTCTTGCCTCATACAGATTCTGAGGTATTTCTACTACCTTGGAAGATGGAAGAAGCAGTGACATTCCCTGGCTCGGTTTCATCCTCACAAGTTCACACATGGTACAATGGTAAAAGCAAAATTACCACTGTGTCTTTGATTTCTGAGGAAGAATGGTTGTGCCTCACATACATATAGTGAAATCTAGAAGGAGGCTCAAAGGAATCAACATTTAGATCTGGAAGGGGCAATGCCACGCCTAAAATACCTTGATGAGAAAAGAGAAGAGGAAGGAAGGCCACGTCCACAACACAGCCTCTCGCCACTGCTGCTCCTTATTTCTACTTGTCTTGAGTTGTCCTGTATTTATCACAGTTTCTGTTGAACAGCTTATTAAGTATTTGGGGAGTTTTATCTTGCCATCCTCCCCCTCCTGGTTCTATGCACCCACCTGTCCCACTGCAGTTCCTTCTGTATTCTGTGACTCTAAGAGAAGAGGCGGGGAGGGCTCTCAGATTTTGTTCGTTTTTTTCTCCTTAGCAGTAGGTCTTGATATTTTCAATTTTGGAAGAACTAAAAGATAAATAAACTGTGGGGTTTTTTTTGTTGTTGTTTTGTTTTTGTAAATTCACCTTTTTGTGACAGTTCTCTTAACATTTCTAGGAAGCATATCAGCTTCACGCCTTGTAAAGTGCTAAGGCTTTTAGAGAAAAATGCCTTCAGCTAGTATAACAAAAATACACTTTGATCATTCTAAGGTTTCATCAGGTTGGGAGATAATAGACATCACAGTAGACCTAATTCATGGTGTAGCAGTTACTTTATAAGAATTGTGACTCTAGTTCCCTCAGAGAGTTTAGAATGGAATAGCAGTTGTTCTATCCCGAAAAGAAATCTTCAGTCATCTCCTTGTAAATAGCACGGAGGGCAGCAGCAGCTCCAAGGGACACCTTCAGCCTTCCTATTGTGGTAGCTTGATCTTCAGGGCTCACAACTGTTGGGAAAGGATAAAATGTGTCAGGCAGCAGCATTCCTCAGTTAAAATTAACACACAAATACATGGTATTTGCCGTATTAGGTGTGGAGGATACTAAATAATGCAATTACCTCATTTCTTGGGGGGACTCAGTCTAGTGGAAAAGAAAGGAAAAAAAACATTACAGTATTTAAAACTCAGTGTGCTCTGGGAATGCACAGAAGAGTCGGGTCACCTAACCCAGAATGGAGGAATTGGAAAAGGCTTTCTGGAGACAATCCCTGAGCTAGGTCTTAAAAAAGTAAAAGATATTCCAAGTATGTGCCAAGACATGAGAACATGACAAGTTTGGAAAACTTCAAGGAGGGACAGAAAAGAAGCTGAGCAGATAAGCAGGGGCCAGATCATAAATGGCCTAGGCTGTCTTCTAAGGAATGTATCTGGGTTTAACTGAAGGTATTAAAAGTGACAGTTTTTAACTGGGTTCTGGGAAGATGACTCCCATCATGTGGAGAAGATATGCAGAGGGGGTACAAGTTAATTAGGGCAGTTGTGAAACTTCTAGTAATTCAGGACAAATGAAGGAGTCTGACATGTAACTGGTAGGGAAAAGGGGACAAACATGTAAGAGGTAACATGAATAGTTTTGTGATTGAACCTTGGGAGTGAGAAGATGAATAAAGAATGACTTTAATTTGGGTAGCAAAATGGGTGCATTAGAGGGAACAATGTACACAGTATAGTCAGAGTTTTGAGATGCTAAGGAGATGCAGAAGTAGTGACTCTTAGGCTGCTGTTTATATTGTATTTTAAAAATCTGGTCTAGAAACCTGTGTTTGAGATCATTTCTAGATTATAATTAAAACCCTGAGAGTGAATGCAAACACCCTGGAAGAAAGTACACAGAGAAAAAGGCCGAGAATTGAGCCAGGAGAATCCAACCCTCAAACAGGAAGGAGGACCTGCAAAGGAAATAAGGATTCCACAGAAGTCAGAACTCCCTAAAAGGGAGGACAGTTCAAAACAGAATGAGCAATGCTAAGAGATTTTTAAAATGTCAAATAGGATGAATAATAAAACCAATTGGATTTGACAACTAGGAAAATTGGTAAGAACAGAGTCAATAAAATACTTGGATGAAAACTTGAAATTGGTTGAAGCATATAGGAGGTGCCAAAATAATACTGTGGAAGGACCATCCATTCAGCAAATATTTCAAGGAGCTGAGTTTTGAAGTCATAGGAGAAGGTAGCTGCAGGCCTAGAAGGCAATTTGTTTTAAAATCAGACTAACAGTCATCTTTGTACATACCTCCAGGGTTTTGTACTTGGTAATTACTCAATATATATTTACTGGATGGAAGAAATAGATTTAGAATGGGTTGAAACCGACTCCTAAAATAGTGACACTTCAGATGTCTTTATAATAGAGGAAAAATCAGACTAACATGTTTAAAGCCTGAGTGGGAGACCATAAAAGATTACCAAAAATTTATCTTTCAATGATAAAAATAAAAATAAAAAATTAAGCATTCGTTGGCTTTAGGGATTTTTTAGGTAACTAGAAAAAGCTTAAGGGGATGGTCCTTATGTACAGAGGGCATGGGCATGTTTGGGGAATGGAGACAAAAATAGAAATTAGGAGTGAGATGGAAAACAGCAAACGGCACTTGCTGTGCCAAACACTGTCCTAAGTACTTGATCCTTCACTTAAGCACAACCTCAGTCCTCACGACAACCGTATGAGGTGGCAGCTGCTATTATGCTCATCTTACAGTTGAGGAAACCAGTACAAAGAGGAATTGTCCAGTAGCACAATTGGAAAGGTACTAGAAAAATATAATATAGAATCTTGTCTACCACTAAAGTTTGAGCTTTGTAACCCTTGGTTTGAAGACTTCCTCGGTATTTTTTTATTATAATCTGTACAGATAATTTTATATCGTGACTCATTAAATATATACATAAAACAAGTTTCACAAAATATTTACTCTGTGCAATGTACTCTGATATTTTCTAGTTTTTTTTTCCTTCACATTATCGTACTAATTTCACTATCCACTAATGTGCTATGACTATACTTAGAAACCACTGGTCTAGTGGACAATCTTCAGTGCCTACCACAGCCTAGATTAGCTGAATGTGCATGTCCTGGGTGTACAGGAATGGTTAGGACCACACAGAGCAGGACAACATAAAGGTATTCAAGTGCAAATATTTTAAAAACATCCTAGTCTTATAGCAAACAGTCTTAAAGGTGGGTTTAATAAGACTGGTCTAAGTTATTGTATAGAAACATGGCAGTAAATGGAAATAGGGTGGAAGAAACCAGTGTCAGAGAGACTAGTTAAGAAAACTCTTAAGAGTAATGGGGTCAGAGTCACGCTACTTCTGAAATAGAATGGCTAAGACTTGGTAACCAATATAGTGAGATGTGAGGGAGAAGACTTGGTATCTTTAAGAGACTGGGTGCCTGATAATGCATTAGAAGAGAAGGGGTATTAGCTGTCTTTATAAACCTCCTATGCTTAGGGGAAGTCAGAAATTCTGGTGTTTAAATTTGATTGAGATTAAAAGAACTTACTTCTTCAAATGTTCCCTACCTCACACTGGAGATTCATAATAAATTCTAGTTGTCATGAGGTATATGGGCTAAAATACACAACTACCTTCATGCTGGATCTAGAAAGAAAGGTAAGTGTAGCAATTTCATTCCGGCTTGTGTCCTACCAACCTCAAAGTGGTGATTATGTGCTGAAGGTAAAAGAGGAAAAGTATTCATGATTAGGATGACTTCCTTAGAAATAAGGAGAACTGAGAAGCATCAGAATTTATTACTCACTGTTGAGCTCTTGTAGAACGTCCCTTCCTGACTCTAGGATCGTCCGCAGTTCCAGATATGCATACCCCACTTCTTGACATTCTTTCTTTTCCTCATCCATAGGATCACTTACCACTGTAAACTTCAAACTATAGGGGAAAAAAATTCCACTTTATTCAGCACTGCTGATACCCTTAGGCTTTAAAAATATATAAAAGGATAAAAGTGATCATAAATTACAAAACGTCTTCCCTCAATCACTTTTCCCTTGCCTCTGCCTCCATTTTACAAAACTACAATGGCAAAACAGTGAAGAATTGGTATAAAGTAACAACAGGCCTGGAGAAGAGGGAACTAAGACCTGAGATAATATGTAAGTTGTCTCCAAATGGTTGAGATAAAATTCAGTGTAAGACAGTTCACAATTTTGAGGAAAGATTTGATACACAAAAAAGATTACAGGAGAAGGGGGAAGAGATTTTGAATTTAAATAAAAGAAAAGTTGGGTACCAACTCTGAGCAGAGTAAAAAAAAACAGCAGGAATATAGAATTGCAAAATGAATATGAACGTGTACTCCTTAGAGTTGTACATCTTGAAAAATGATGCTGTAAAGCACACAGTACATACCTCACAAGCAGTCTCATGAGCAGTCAACAGCATTTATTATCCTGACTTAGCCTAGCAAAGAATTATACTGAATTCAAGAAACTGGTATCTATTAAACTTTTTAAGATAAAGTTCCCATAACATAAATTCATATTTTAGCCATTTTTAAGTGTACAATTCAGTATAATCATAATGTATAACCATTACTGCTATCTAAATCTAGATCACATTCAATCCCCAAAAAAATATATCCCCATTAAGCAGTCACTCTCCATTCTCCTCTCTCTCAGCTTCCAGTAACCACTGATCTATTTTCTGCCTTGTAGATTTGCCTATTCTGGACATTTCATATTCCTATTAATTTGTTAAAAGCAAATCCTGGGCATCTAGAATGGCGAACGCTTTCCAGAAGGTTTTCAATTTACTTTGCCCAGATCCATCAAAGCAATCACTATCTATGGCAGCTATGGACTTATGAAATGTATTTCTTCAACATTACAACTTGGGAAGTTGAAATTCCTCCTTGACCCATGGGCTGCAGAATGTACATTGTGGTAGCAGGCATGCAAACAGCATTCTTCTCATGGGGCAGCTCCACCAGAGCTCTTGGGTGACCAGATGCATTGTCAGTGAGCAGTCATATTTTTTTTTTTTGAGAGGGCATCTCTCATATTTATTGATCAAATGGTTGTTAACAACAATAAAATTCTGTATAGGGGACTCAATGCACAATCATTAATCAACCCCAAGCCTAATTCTCAACAGTCTCCAATCTTCTGAAGCGTAACAAACAA